GATTGTGAGCAATCTCCGTAATACACATCTTTTATGACTGATTCACAATTTAAAAATTGATGGAATGGATTAGAAAGAATTCTAATGGCAGTCCATGTTCTTTCCCTCTTCTTCCACGTGTGTTGGCCTGGTTCTGGGAGCTAATTATCTTTATCTGTTGCAGATTTTTCCCATCTGATGACTAGATTTGTAAAATGGCTATCGATTTCAAATTTACTGTAAAACATATTGCCTTAACAAATAGGAGTCTCATTCAACTTCTTTATCAATTTCTGGCATGATTATTCAGTTGTTCTTATTTTTTATTGATGTTTATAAAACTTAAAGAGCAAAAATCCTAATGGACAATTAAGCCAAAACTGCTTTTCTATGAAAAAAAAAGCACAGGGCTTGAGATATGGCTCATTGTTTCAGGACCACTTTCTCTGAAAGCATAAGGACCTGAGCTCAAATCTCCAGCACCCACATTAGAGTTTGTTTATGGATGTGCTTGCCTGTGACCTCATTGTTCAGATGGCTGAAATAGCAGATGCTGGGAGCTTGCTGGCTAGCCATACTGACACAGAGCATTACCTGTTCAGTGAGAGAATATGTCTTAAGGGATTAGGTGGAGAGTTACACAGGATCGAGGAAGGCATAAAATGCCCTGTGCTGTCTTCAAATAAGCATGTGCTCCTGCACATATGTGCACACATATGCATAAACCAGACACATATATCCCACACCCGATAAATAATAGATAACACTAAATTCTGTATTTTCTGTTTTATAGACAGTACTTGAACCTCATCATTTTACAAAATGATGGCATTCTCATTGTCCATTTAACTCATATTTTTGCTTCCATATCCCTGTCTCAGAGACTACCATTGGACGATTTGGTACTAAAATGGACAGTATTTCCATTACACTGCATAATCACTAAGGTTTATGTGAATTCTTTGTAATGTAAGTGGAGTTTGATATTGGTACTTGTATAATTTCATGAAGATGGCAACACTGTTGACTGAAAAGTAAGAATACATGTGAGAATTCCATCAGTACAAATCCATTTTTCTCCCCCAAAGATAGAATTAGTTTCTTCAACTTTGTGTTCCTCTTTTTCATTCTCTAACTGCTTTATCATGACTATATGCTTTAATGAACTGTCAGTTAGAATCTGTTGTGTCAAATCTCATTTCCCATCAGATCTGTCCCTCTCTGCCCACCAATTTGACCTGTCTTCATATTTCTTACACACGCTGGACTTCTTTACACCTTTGTTTTCTACGAGTCTTTTATAAATTCCTGCTCCCTTCACTTTCCTGAGATTCTTTTTATCATTTTTCTGTAGTTGACATTTACATTTTCATGGGATGGAAAGTCTCTGACTTGTATATTTAAACATGCTTTTAATATACTCTGTTTTGTTGATAAATGAGTTAACATAGAATGCTAGGTTAAAATCTATTTTCTGTAGAGCCTTGAGGGAAGAGCATATTATCTTCTACAGCCCATCAGACCTCATCGTTGCTAGGATACCAAGCTCTGAGTTTGCCTTAAAAAATCTCATATTTGTTCATTATTGCTTCTTTCTTAAATTTTCTTCCTTAAAATGCTTGGTATATTCTTTATTTGAAATTTTATATGAAATAAAGTCTTCCGTGTGTGTGTGTGTGTGTGTGTTTTCCTACATTTCCTACTCAAATCCACACCTTTTTGATGCCCTTTCCTGTTTTCAGTCTGCATTCTAGAGGAAGTTTCTTGTGCTCATCCACTCTACAACATGTTTTTTCTCATTAAAGATGTGTGCGTGTCAGTGAGTGAGTGTGTGTGTGTGTGTGTCTGTGTGTGTGTGTCTGTGTGTGTGTGTGTTTATATAAATATACATGTAACGTCTTGAAAATCACAGGAGCTTTTCTTTCCCTTGTTATTTGTTTGTGTGAGATCATGGTCTGGTCATTTCTTTAGAAACACTGAAGAACCCAGGATAGAAACTCAATTTTTCCTTTACTGAATTTTAATTTTAAATCATATATTTGTGGTAGCAGAATTTACTATTTTCTTATTTATTCCTACCTGCAAATAAAATTGGATTAATTTGTACCAAGCACAGTTTTAGTTCACTCCTAGCTATGAAACCCATAGTTTTCAATCACCTTCTGCATCCAGGTTCCATAGGTATTAAGAAAAAAAAATCCTCTACTTACGTCATGTAATACTCTTTGTGTGAAGATAAGGACAAACTGACTCATAACTTACAAAAATAATGGCATTATTCATAATTACTTTTCTAAAAGATAATAGAAAGTGAAATCACTCTTACTGAACGACAGTTGCTAAGGACCCTTATTAGGTGCTATGACTTGGAAACAGTTGTAGTACATCTAATTACTCATTAGGATCCCTATAATCTGATTTTAATTGATATCAAACATTGGACTTGGATACATGTGATTTCTTTAAAGTCAAGAAGATCCAATTACCCTATATAGATTCAGCACAGTATTCTGAAAATGTGTTTTTCTAACATCAAATGCATCCCTACAGTGATGGTCAACTTACATTATCATAATCATTTAATGAAATGGAGGTTTACAGGCATTTAGTGAAGCAATTCCTGACTTTTTGCTCTAAATTGGTATTTGCTAGTTTGTTGATTTCCTTTGAGATATCTGTGGTTGGTCGCTGTAGTGATTTACAATTTCTATTCTGAAATCTGTCTTAGGAATTCAAACCCTAGGTACTAACTTCCAAGACCTTAGACAAGTTCTTAAATTCCTGACATTTTAACTTGAAAGCAATACTAGTTTTCCTATGGATTTTATGTTAATATAGTTCAAGTACTCATCACAATAAGAATATAATTGTCAGTAATTATCATTATTTTTACAATTATTACTACATGATTTCCATTAAATAACATGAATAAGCTATATTTACAGCTAAGATATCTTGTTATATTCAATAAAGATACATATAACCTAACATCTGAAGCCCTATTATTGTTAAATACATCATTTAGTTTGAAAATTATTGAAGTTCCACAATTATTCCAGTATAGATGTGAGGTAAATACTCTATCAATTCATTAAACTTTATTAACACAATAAAATATTGCAAGTCAATCTGTTCAACAAAGTTTTTATCTTCTGCATGTAATTCATTTGATAATATGTTGGTATTTGAGGGTCATGGTTTTGAATGAAATAAAATGATAAAAAGTTGTTTTAAAATTAGTTTTTCACTGTTTACCATAGGCAATGCATTAGCGTGTTTTGCCTTAGAAATATATAGGTGTGTATAGAGTGAAGTCTGTCTTATGCATGCAGGCTCCACAATCCCTATCACAGATATATATATATATATGCATGTGTGTGTGAATGAAGAAATATTTAAAGTGCATGTGAGTAAGGGAACTTTCCACTCTTCTCATATGAAAGTAACTATTAAATGTATTCTCCTGTTTCCTAGCACTTTTACCAAAAGCTGTATTTTTATTGCAGTTCCATTCTGATACACAAAAGCCTTCTTTAATTGATAACTTAAAGGCTGCATTGGGTGACCATGTTGGATAAGTATTACCAGGTCACAGCTGATGCAATTTTGATATGAAAAAATATGCATTAAAATTAGCTGAATAAATAGTATTGCACAATTGAAGTTTTACATACATGCAGCATATTTACCTAAAGCAATTTAAGACATATCTTTGGATTGAAATCTGGATAAATTTGTAAAGATTTTTTTCTCATATTTTATTGATTCTCAGGAAATTCATGCACTGTATTTTCATCACCTTCAGACGCCCCTCCTTCATCTTTATCTGCACCCTACTCACCACTTCTCACCACACACAAAACTTGTCACCAAAGAAGCTTCTTCTTGCAGAAGATAATTAGTAATACAGAGACCAATATCTGGTCAATGTTGAGAGAATAATAGACTGTGGCGAACCTCTATTATACCCTTTCCTCTCAAGGCTCAGGTATCATTGCAGAAGGTGGTGGGAGCAGAAAAACTGTAAGAGCCAAATGGTGGTGGAGGAATATGAGGAAACTGTACTGTGTGCACACCACAGGCCAGTAGTATATATGAACACACAGTGCTTGTGACAGCGTGCACAATGTCCAGGCAAGTCCAAGCCATATAATTACCCATAATTGGAGGAGGAGGACAGGAAGCCCCAGACATAGCTAAGGATCTGTTTGTTAAGGATTTAAAAGACGTTTTAAAGTTATGCTTAATTTCTGATATTGATACAGGTATGTAACATGATTCAAAGGAAAATGAGGCTAATGGCAAAATGAGACCCCTTCTATGACTAATTCCCACTAATTCACTTCTAATTTAATGCAGATTCATAAGCTTCATGTATCCTTCCAGATGTATACATGTAGATGATTTCGACTATTGTAGAAAAATGTTTTAAGTGCTTTATTGTTGCTTATAAGGAAGCAAAAGATCCTTTTCAGGTGTAACAGACATAAACCAGGTCAAGGTGAAAATGTTAGTATTAAGACCAATGGTAATTTACTACCTTTCACTTAACTTCATCAGTAAATGTGGATCATAAATAAAAATTGTATTGTATTTGACTTTTACTCTAACCCATTGGCTTCTCCAAAAGCAGAGATAGCTATGAATTCTGTACAAGGCAGTGCTCTGAATGTGATCTACCCCTACTCGTGTCATGAAGCATGTATTCTGGAGTTGCCGTTTTCCATATCCATAGGCATTTTCTTCACCTTTTTTTTTTACATTTTTTTTCTCATGGAAGTCATTTTCTAGTGAAAGGATTTCTGCTTTAAATAGCATTCATTATTTCATTATATCATATTGCTTGAATCACATGTTTATTTTTAGATTTGAAAAGCCTTGAATCACAACTATTGTTTTGCATTTAATTTGATTTAGGTATTTTTGTAATACAGATTTTAAAGAATAATTTAAAAGTTTAAATTGGTGTCCTGCTGAATTTTTGTTCATATTAAAGATTTCTGTTACTTCTGTGTTTCTAGCATGCAGTGATCTGGAATTCAGAGAAGTGGCAAACAGATTGCGAGACTGGTTCAAGGCCCTTCATGAGAGTGGAAGTCAAAATAAGAAGACAAAAGCATTACTGAGACACGAGAGAAGCAGTAAGATTTTTAAACTTGATCAATAGTATTGTCTTTCAGGTGACTTCTACTCAATACACCTCTCAGAAAAAATACACTTGCCAATATTTATCCTTTACAAGATGTGAAACAAAAGTGAGCACACTTACTATTTCAAGAGTTTTGCAGTGTTATGCAAAAAAACAATGCTTTTCAGACAACTCTGGCTGCAGGAAATGATATTGTCTCCTCGGAGTATTGAATTTCTAGCCTAAATTCAGGACTAGAAATATTACCAGGCATGACTTCATGCCTAAAGTCCCAGCACTTGGGCTAGGATGGGATATGATGAGTTCAAGGCCTAGGCTGAATACCAAGACCCTGTCTAAAAAGATAAAAGAAGGAAAGGAAGAAAGCAGAGAGGTATTTAAAATTCCATGTGTAGAAAAATAAGATAAGGATGATAGAGTACTTTACTATTTATTTATTATACCGTGAATCAAAAATATTTCCAGTAACAATATCCTCTAAACAATTTAATTACAGATCATACCATCCACCTTGAATTTTTCTGACAACTTTAATTTAGCCCTGTGGAGAGTGGGGTTAATTTAGAGAGAGGAGATAATCTGCCAATCAAGTAAAACCTGAAGAGAAAATAAAGTCATGTGATTTTTACAATATTCTTTCATCATATGTATTAAATATAAATTTGTATTCATAATATATTAAAAGTCAATTTCATGGTATTGTTTGACTCACGTGTTTAAAGCCTTTGGATTTTATCCCCAGTATTATCAAACAAAAAGCCAAAAGGATATAGAAATTGCAAGTAAAAGTGAAGTTCTTGTTCTGAACAACTCTATGAACTTTTCATCTTATACTATCATTTATATAAAATGTATTTTCATTTAATGACTATAGAAATAATAATAAAACATGGACTGAATATTTCAAACACATAAATACTTATTTTTTCCTAAGAGGTTCTAATAAATGGGACAGCAGTAATGAGGTATGCCTTAGCTGGCAAAGAGGTTCCCATGCATGACCATGACCATCCTTATTGATCATGACCAACATGAGCACACACTTTAATGTTCAGCTCTGAAATTGCAGTGTATGACAAACTGATAGCAACATAGCACACATTTATATTTTCTTAAATGTCGTGCTTGCTTTCTTTGCATTAAGTTGTTTTCAACAATTTTAACCTTGTATGCTTATGAATCTTCTTTTCTAAAGTAATTTGTGTGAAAAAAGTCACTTTTGGAAATTGTAAATTTATTCATTGTGTGAATATGCATGCTTTTCTTCTTATGAATTTTATCACCAAATTATAGTACATTTCCAAGCCCATTGAGAGTTTCAGATTTGCCTTTGGATGTATTATCAAGTTTTTTGACAGCTATAAGTTATTTGGTACCTTTCAGTCTGAATTTATTTAATAGAAATAACAACTAAGCACAAACCTTTTCCATCCTAAAGAAAATATTCTTGGTATATTTTCCCATGTGTGGGGAAAGACCTTTCAGGACAGTACATAATGATTTTAAATTATTCATATCCAGAGTTGTCTCCTCAATGTGTCTTCTTGAATAGTACATATTTTCAAAGAGCTCCTTTGACCTTGAGTTGCTACCAATCTCTCACCTGGATCTGTAGGTACATGAAAGAACATGTGGAAGCTTCCACACATCAGGCTACAACTGGAAAACGTGTAGAGAATAAGAGACTGCAGAGTGTGTCCCTGGGTAGAGCTCCTATATTGAACTAACCCACCCAAGGCTCAGGGGCCATTTCGGAAGAGCAGACGGAAAGACAGTAAGAGTTAGGGTTGGTGGATGACCAAATGGAAACAGAGTTTTCCCGGCTTCTTTGAACTTGCTTACATGAATTTACAGCAATGACATGCACCAGACCCATGCAAACTCAAAGCAGATGAAATACCAGCATAGAACTTGGGAAATAGGTAGAAGGCCACAACCTTAGTGGGGAACTATTGGTAGCTGATCACTGCTGGTGAAGTAGAGTTGGTCTTCTTTAAGGGTTTGACACTGCATAAGCTAACCAGACTCTAGTGGATGAATTCACACCATGGGACATCTGGGTACACAATGTTGACAATTAGGCCTTAGTATGTATGATACAATGCATGAAATATAGTAGATTGAGCTATGGGTTGGAGTGCAGATAGGGGAAGGAGTCTAAATATGATTAAGATGTATTATATGAAATGCAAAAGAAATCAATGAAAATATACATTGGAAAAGAAAGAACATGTAGAATACTCAGAGGGCTTTCTTATCTCTTTGAAACTTGACAACCCTGGCTAAATCCTTCCCATAGTGCATCATCTTTAATTTGTTAACTAACTTTGCAACATCAGGTTTCTGTCTCCTTCCTGTTCTTTTCTTTATTTGTTTGCCTTTTTGAGAAGTGGTCTCAGAAGTGACATATGTTGGAGTTTAACTAAGTCACCTCCCTCTGTTTCCAAATTGCTGTTTCCTTGGGCACGCACCACTGCACTCTGACCTATTGACTCCTACTTCAATGTTTCCTTCAGATCATTAATCACTATGGAATTGAGTAACAATCTCTTCTGTCATTGTACTGTCTTCTCTTCAATTAAACTACTCTAAACAGAAGAATGTCATATATCTTAAATATGCAAAGTTGATTTGTGTTTTGATTTTTTAAAAATAATTTTATTGATTCGAGAATTTTACACAATGCATTTTGATCATATACTGCCCCTCTCCCCCTCTGTACACCCACTCTGCCATCACCCATCCAACTTCATGCCCTTTATTATAATTTTTCTTTGTTAATGGCTTATCTAGTCTAATTTGTGTATCTAGTCTAATTGTGTCAAATGCTCTTGGGTGTGACTCTGTCCCTTGGAGTCTGGTCAACATACCAGGTATCACATCAGTAAGGAAAACTAACTTTTCCAGGATCTATCATTGCCAATAGATCCTCAGCTAGAGCGGTGGCTTCCTGCCCAACTTCCCCATCTGTACTGGGCCCCTGTGTGACTTGAATTTGCACAGATATTGTGCATACTATCTTAGGTTTTGTAGCCTCATATGTGCAAATATCCTGTGGTGTTCACACAATTTCTTTGTCTATATCTGCTGTTTTGATATTTCAATATAACAGCAGCATTCTGATATCATGATCCTTTTTATAAGAAATTATGTCATTAACATAGAGCTCCAATATATATTTTATGTCCTTTATGCATATTGCACATAAAACAAAGAAAAATTTACTTACAGTATCTATTAAGCAGGAGAAAAAATTTTAAGAAAATATTATTTCAAAAGTTATGAAAACCAAATTTTGCTTTTATATCTGGTTAGTAGTATTGCATTCCATCATTTAAAAAAATCTTATATTAAAATATTTAAATATTAAATGTCATTAACCAAGAAAAATGTTTTGTGAATTTATTATATTTTATGCATTCAATTCTGTGTCACACATTATGGAGCAATTGGTCATTTTGCTGTAGTATAAAATGACATTGTGTATAGTGCACACAATTACTTTTACTTACAGGAGTAATGCTTGCATATTTAATGACAGTAACTTATTTTATTTTATAGAAAAAATGTGAGGTGAATAAATATAAATTGTTAGGCTTCAGCATTTTCCAGTAGATTAACAGATTT